ACTTTCCAATGCCCATTTTGATCCCGGGAGTTACCCGGGTGGTGTCACACGAAATTTGCATGTCGCAAATTTCGATATGGCTTGTGCAACGGCCAGAGAGTGACAGCGGCGGGGGCCGGGCTGCAACCTTTTTTGACAGTTTATTAAATTTCAAAGTGCATGGGATTGGCACTCCAAAACATGATAAATGTACAGTAACGCCAACTGCATCCGTGCCAAACATGATACGCGGACACATGCTGCATATTATGCAACACATGCCCTTACCAGCAGCAGCATGCACAACATCTGAATTACACAACCGAAGTAGACAGCAAGCCGTCCATGGAGACGTGATCAACGTCAATACATAATAATGGTAATAAGCCGGATAAACCGAAAAGTACCCATTGTACCCATCAAACAGTCAGCTGGGTTGCCCCATGGGGGTATTGACCCATGGGCGAAACTGTAAGGGGTGCTACGCAACTGGCCGTGGTCCCGGCAGGTGAAGCTGGCAGCTCAGTCCGCTAAGACTTACTGTATAGCGACCCCTGCCTACTCGTAAGGTAAAGTTGTTTGGGGACTCCACTAATCGCAGCACGCAGCACCCATTTTTTACATAAATAAACGTAATATTAGCGTAACTACCATTCGCACACTTGCATACACACCACACTCACACAGCGCAGGGTCTGCGCCCACAGTGCACTGCAGCACTGCGGCGCAGACCATGCCAAACCTATGCTATCGCTCTCTTCCGGGCGTGTTAATTATTTATTTTTATCGAATCAAAGTGAGCTGTGGCTTTTTGCCGGCTGTTTTATTTTCATCGAATCAGAGCGAGCTGTTTGGGCGGGTCCGTAAATAAATTAACGTCCAGATACGCACGCAGACGACCAAACCAGCGTAGTTGTTTATGATGACTAGCAGTTGCCGCCCGCTTCGCGGGCGGTGTGTATATACTTGGTTGGTGGGGAGTTGAAAGTGGCTGGACACAATATACATGTTTTGGTGATTGTTTTATGTTTATTTTTGTGAGGTTATATGTATTTTAATGACATTATTCAATAATGCAACTTCTTCAAATATAGAATGCAACTTATTCAAATATCTGGCGATTCACGATATTCTTCGTGTACACTCCGTCTTCCTCCTCGTCGTCAGGTCCCTCAATAAGCGCCTTGATGTTGGATGTTGCCGTGACTCGCGATAGTGCCACGTACAGTTGGCCGTGCGAGAAGCATGGCGTTGGTAGATATAATCGCAGGTTGTGAACAGTTTGCCCTTGCGCCTTGTTGATGGTCATCGCGAATGCTGGGACAATGGGGAACTGTTTGCGCCGAAGTCGAAATGGGAAGTCCTTCATGTCCAATTCGCGGCGGATATGGTTGTTCTCAAGCAGCGAGTCCAAGACCAAGTGTGGGTACTCGGAAAGCTGCGGGAGGTCGTCAAAGTCCGACAGAGCGATCCCACCTGCCGTGAGGAACTCGTGGAGGCTGTGAAGGGTCTTGAACTTTACCAATTTTTTTTGTATTTTCTTTGATGCTGCTAATCCTGCATAATGCACGGGTATAAGTAGTACTAATCACATACCTGCATTTCCCATATCCCCTCCCTTTGATGCTGCTAATTCTGCATAATGCACGGGCATAAGTAGTACTAATCACATACCTGCATTTCCCATAAATATGCTAAATTGCTCTTGATATGCAAATTTTTTGTCAAGGCGCCCTTTCCCCCCCTTCCAACCCAGCTTATATATATGCTCCAAGCACGTGTGCTGTTTCATTCAGACGCTGTCGCCTCGACATACCTGGTTTTCACCTGAGGACGGCGGCTTGCGTTGTGGCCGAAACGTCGTGAGAATTATTTTATTATGTTTAAATTTTTTTATTGTATTACTTCCCTTGTACGTGACTTTAGCGAAAGAACCAAGAAGATTTAGCATTTCTTCTTTGTTGGTCAGCTGGCGGTACTGGTACTCGTAATCGCGAGCCAATTCGTCGTAGAATTTACCCCAGAGAGCCTTGGTATCTGCTGCCATGGAATACAGCAGAATGGTAGCGAAGAGTTGACGAAGCTGGTACGGCATCTGAAAGAGCGAGGCTTCTTCCAGACACGCAACCAATTCGCGATCGCTCTCAAGGTAGCCTGCTCGCATGGCTGCTTCCAGGGGTTTGTTTTGTTTAATTTTATTCGTAACGCACCATCCATATGCACTCCACCATCCACCATGCCCTTGCATGGCAAAGACACAGCTCCGGTGTGCGTCAGCGTGTGCGCCATCCACAGTGACATTGGTCAGAAATTGCACCGTTCCGATCGCACACAGGTTAGCCCCTGCATCCTCCGTCTGTATGTACACACACAGACAAATCCGTTATGGGGCCACCTATTTTTTTCTTATAAAAAATATTTTGTTGGTGTTTTTACGTTTATGTATTCCCATTGTGGGTGTTTTACGCATGCATCAGATTTTTGGGTTCCTCACATATGATATCAGAGGTGTGGGTCACTCCATTTCTCAATCGAACAATAACGGGGATCGTTTCAGTTATGACAGTTTGCAGATAGAAACATTGCATGATCGTATACTAATAATGACAGAATTTGTACCCCAGTGGAGGGCATCCCCCACCCGGCGCTTCTTACCGGTACTGTGAGACTTAGAAAACCAGACCTCTCCTCCTCCTGAACCGTTCACAATACCCTGTGGTAGTACCATAATCATCTCAATAAAGCGATCACTTTCCAATGCCCATTTTGATCCCGGGAGTTACCCGGGTGGTGTCACACGAAATTTGCATGTCGCAAATTTCGATATGGCTTGTGCAACGGCCAGAGAGTGACAGCGGCGGGGGCCGGGCTGCAACCTTTTTTGACAGTTTATTAAATTTCAAAGTGCATGGGATTGGCACTCCAAAACATGATAAATGTACAGTAACGCCAACTGCATCCGTGCCAAACATGATACGCGGACACATGCTGCATATTATGCAACACATGCCCTTACCAGCAGCAGCATGCACAACATCTGAATTACACAACCGAAGTAGACAGCAAGCCGTCCATGGAGACGTGATCAACGTCAATACATAATAATGGTAATAAGCCGGATAAACCGAAAAGTACCCATTGTACCCATCAAACAGTCAGCTGGGTTGCCCCATGGGGGTATTGACCCATGGGCGAAACTGTAAGGGGTGCTACGCAACTGGCCGTGGTCCCGGCAGGTGAAGCTGGCAGCTCAGTCCGCTAAGACTTACTGTATAGCGACCCCTGCCTACTCGTAAGGTAAAGTTGTTTGGGGACTCCACTAATCGCAGCACGCAGCACCCATTTTTTACATAAATAAACGTAATATTAGCGTAACTACCATTCGCACACTTGCATACACACCACACTCACACAGCGCAGGGTCTGCGCCCACAGTGCACTGCAGCACTGCGGCGCAGACCATGCCAAACCTATGCTATCGCTCTCTTCCGGGCGTGTTAATTATTTATTTTTATCGAATCAAAGTGAGCTGTGGCTTTTTGCCGGCTGTTTTATTTTCATCGAATCAGAGCGAGCTGTTTGGGCGGGTCCGTAAATAAATTAACGTCCAGATACGCACGCAGACGACCAAACCAGCGTAGTTGTTTATGATGACTAGCAGTTGCCGCCCGCTTCGCGGGCGGTGTGTATATACTTGGTTGGTGGGGAGTTGAAAGTGGCTGGACACAATATACATGTTTTGGTGATTGTTTTATGTTTATTTTTGTGAGGTTATATGTATTTTAATGACATTATTCAATAATGCAACTTCTTCAAATATAGAATGCAACTTATTCAAATATCTGGCGATTCACGATATTCTTCGTGTACACTCCGTCTTCCTCCTCGTCGTCAGGTCCCTCAATAAGCGCCTTGATGTTGGATGTTGCCGTGACTTCGCGATAGTGCCACGTACAGTTGGCCGTGCGAGAAGCATGGCGTTGGTAGATATAATCGCAGGTTGTGAACAGTTTGCCCTTGCGCCTTGTTGATGGTCATCGCGAATGCTGGGACAATGGGGAACTGTTTGCGCCGAAGTCGAAATGGGAAGTCCTTCATGTCCAATTCGCGGCGGATATGGTTGTTCTCAAGCAGCGAGTCCAAGACCAAGTGTGGGTACTCGGAAAGCTGCGGGAGGTCGTCAAAGTCCGACAGAGCGATCCCACCTGCCGTGAGGAACTCGTGGAGGCTGTGAAGGGTCTTGAACTTTACCAATTTTTTTTGTATTTTCTTTGATGCTGCTAATCCTGCATAATGCACGGGTATAAGTAGTACTAATCACATACCTGCATTTCCCATATCCCCTCCCTTTGATGCTGCTAATTCTGCATAATGCACGGGCATAAGTAGTACTAATCACATACCTGCATTTCCCATAAATATGCTAAATTGCTCTTGATATGCAAATTTTTTGTCAAGGCGCCCTTTCCCCCCCTTCCAACCCAGCTTATATATATGCTCCAAGCACGTGTGCTGTTTCATTCAGACGCTGTCGCCTCGACATACCTGGTTTTCACCTGAGGACGGCGGCTTGCGTTGTGGCCGAAACGTCGTGAGCATTATTTTATTATGTTTAAATTTTTTTATTGTATTACTTCCCTTGTACGTGACTTTAGCGAAAGAACCAAGAAGATTTAGCATTTCTTCTTTGTTGGTCAGCTGGCGGTACTGGTACTCGTAATCGCGAGCCAATTCGTCGTAGAATTTACCCCAGAGAGCCTTGGTATCTGCTGCCATGGAATACAGCAGAATGGTAGCGAAGAGTTGACGAAGCTGGTACGGCATCTGAAAGAGCGAGGCTTCTTCCAGACACGCAACCAATTCGCGATCGCTCTCAAGGTAGCCTGCTCGCATGGCTGCTTCCAGGGGTTTGTTTTGTTTAATTTTATTCGTAACGCACCATCCATATGCACTCCACCATCCACCATGCCCTTGCATGGCAAAGACACAGCTCCGGTGTGCGTCAGCGTGTGCGCCATCCACAGTGACATTGGTCAGAAATTGCACCGTTCCGATCGCACACAGGTTAGCCCCTGCATCCTCCGTCTGTATGTACACACACAGACAAATCCGTTATGGGGCCACCTATTTTTTTCTTATAAAAATATTTTGTTGGTGTTTTTACGTTTACGTATTCCCATTGTGGGTGTTTTACGCATGCATCAGATTTTTGGGTTCCTCACATATGATATCAGAGGTGTGGGTCACTCCATTTCTCAATCGAACAATAACGGGGATCGTTTCAGTTATGACAGTTTGCAGATAGAAACATTGCATGATCGTATACTAATAATGACAGAATTTGTACCCCAGTGGAGGGCATCCCCCACCCGGCGCTTCTTACCGGTACTGTGAGACTTAGAAAACCAGACCTCTCCTCCTCCTGAACCGTTCACAATACCCTGTGGTAGTACCATAATCATCTCAATAAAGCGATCACTTTCCAATGCCCATTTTGATCCCGGGAGTTACCCGGGTGGTGTCACACGAAATTTGCATGTCGCAAATTTCGATATGGCTTGTGCAACGGCCAGAGAGTGACAGCGGCGGGGGCCGGGCTGCAACCTTTTTTGACAGTTTATTAAATTTCAAAGTGCATGGGATTGGCACTCCAAAACATGATAAATGTACAGTAACGCCAACTGCATCCGTGCCAAACATGATACGCGGACACATGCTGCATATTATGCAACACATGCCCTTACCAGCAGCAGCATGCACAACATCTGAATTACACAACCGAAGTAGACAGCAAGCCGTCCATGGAGACGTGATCAACGTCAATACATAATAATGGTAATAAGCCGGATAAACCGAAAAGTACCCATTGTACCCATCAAACAGTCAGCTGGGTTGCCCCATGGGGGTATTGACCCATGGGCGAAACTGTAAGGGGTGCTACGCAACTGGCCGTGGTCCCGGCAGGTGAAGCTGGCAGCTCAGTCCGCTAAGACTTACTGTATAGCGACCCCTGCCTACTCGTAAGGTAAAGTTGTTTGGGGACTCCACTAATCGCAGCACGCAGCACCCATTTTTTACATAAATAAACGTAATATTAGCGTAACTACCATTCGCACACTTGCATACACACCACACTCACACAGCGCAGGGTCTGCGCCCACAGTGCACTGCAGCACTGCGGCGCAGACCATGCCAAACCTATGCTATCGCTCTCTTCCGGGCGTGTTAATTATTTATTTTTATCGAATCAAAGTGAGCTGTGGCTTTTTGCCGGCTGTTTTATTTTCATCGAATCAGAGCGAGCTGTTTGGGCGGGTCCGTAAATAAATTAACGTCCAGATACGCACGCAGACGACCAAACCAGCGTAGTTGTTTATGATGATACTATTGCATGTTCACCAGCTCACTCCTTGTTAAAAAAATGTTGCTTTGAAGGTCTGGCTCTCAGAATAACTCTCCCAAATAATCAACAGATATTGGTAGTGTGCTGCTATAGACCACCTAGTAGTAAGGATGTTGAAGCTGCGTCTGCACTGAGAGAGAGCTTCTTGGGGGCCTCCCTAAAAGTGAAATAGTTTTAGTGGGTGATCTGAATTGGAATTGGCTAAACCCGCTGGCCGTGGCCACAAATTTTGCAGATGAATTTAACCTATTTTAATTAATAAATGTCCCCACAAGACCCAACCTAAAAAATCCGGGACAGTCATCTCTGCTTGAAGTCCTATTGACAAATGCCCCTCACAATTTCTCACTGACTGGTGTTCTGGGTAATAAACCTTAGTGATCACTCCATCTTATTTGGGGTGAGATCATCAGCCAGACCCAAAGCCCCCCCTACATTGGTTGAGAAGCACTCCATGAGACACTTACAGCATTCAGGCATTTACTAATGATGTGCTTCACTCGGATATTGTCATGGTCTGTGATATCCCCAACCTGGCTACGGCTTGGGAGACCTTCAGGTACGTTTCTCCAAATTCTTAACAAACATGCTCCGTTAGTTAGATTTAAAACTAAAGGCAACCGCCCACCATGGTTTGATCCTTTGATTACTAAGCTCATGCAAACTAGGGACGAGGCTTGGGCATGTGCTCAGAAAAGTAATTTGGTCAATGACTGGCTAGAATACAGGATGTTAAGGAATAGATGCGTCAAAAAAATACGGAATGCAAAACATGCTTACTTTTCCTCCACTCTCCTGGAATCACATGGAAATGCCAGGATCTTCTGCAAAACAATCAAATTTATCGAAAAAGGCATCCAACACATATAATCTGCCCATTGCGCTTAACCGAAAGAGGGACTATTTTTCAGAACTCCAAAAAATAGTCTACAATTTTAACCTTCATTTTTCTGAAGCTGGTGACCTTTTTGATAATGGATTGGGAGTCACCCCTGGTCATGCAATTTCCTACACCCCTGTCCAAACATTAAACGAATTTAGTTTCTAGCCAATCCACGAAAGTAATGTTCTGAAACAACTGTCCTACCTCAAAAGGGTCCTCCTCTACCGGAGCAGATAGTATTCCCGTCTTTGCTCTGCTAACTGTTGGTCACCTAATATACAAACCTGTAGCCCATATTTTCAACCTGTCCATCAAAGAAGCATCAGTACCTCTAGAATGGAAATATTCCTATGTTCATCAACTTCACAAAGGGGGCCCTAAAGATGATCCAAATAACTACCGACCTATCTCAATTTTGTCCCCATTGATGCAATAAAAAAAAATGATTGAACTACCAAATTCGCAGTTTCCTGTCCAACAACAATCTATTACATCGAAAACAATCTGGGTTCCGAAAAAAATACAGCACCACATCTACTGCATTAGAATCTCTGAATGACATTTACAGTCGCCTTGATAATAAGCAGTACTGTGCCAGTCTTTTTCTTGACTTGTCCAAAGCCTTTGATACAGTGGACCACAGCACCCTGCTTAGTAAACTAAGTTGCCTCCGTTTCTCCAAACACGCAGTAGAATGGTTTAAAAAATTACCTCTCTTCTCGCACCCAAACTGTATTCACAGATGGTTGGAGGTCAAACAGTGTTAAGATAACAAAAGGGGTTCCACAGGGTTCCATCCTCGACCCCCTCTTGTTCTCTTTATGTCAATGACTTGGGCACTGACCTGGATCATTCCAGGGTAAATCTGTTTGCAGATGACACTATACTGATTACTGCTGGCCGCTCTCTGGATGACGTGATTGCTAAGCTCTAGGGTGATTTCAACAAACTACAACATAAGCTAGTAGCTCTTAAACTGGTCCTGAATACCTCCAAAACCAAGGTGCTATGCTTCTCACCAGGAGTAAAGCAGGAAGATATTTTCCCCAAAATATATTCCTTAAATAATCATCAAATAGAGCAAGTCAAGATCTATAAGTATCTTGGGGTCATCTTTGATTCAAAACTGAATTTTCAAGATCATATTGATTATATTGGTAAAAAGACAAAATAAAAAATTAGTTTTCTTTATCGACACAAGCACTGCTTCCCCCCTATATTCCGCTTGGAATTGATAAAAGCTACTATACTGCCTCTACTTGATTACTGTGACATCGTATATAAATCAGCCCCCAATACTTTACTGAAGAAACTTGACTCAATTTATCACTCGGCCTTAAGATTTGCATTGAACTGCCCATATAGGACCCACCACTGTGATCTCTACATTAGGTCAAACTTAACTTATCTTAATGATCGATGGCTTGTGCATCAGATGTTATGTATTCACGATGTACTTACATAAAAATCAGCAGACTACCTGCTGGATCTCCTCACTGTTTCGAAGAACAAATGTGACCTAAGGTCTGCGCTCATTTACCAGCTTCACATTCCTTATTGCCGTACAAATACTGGAGGAAGGGCCTTTTCTATTGATGCCCCCAGGGTCTGGAATACTATCGCCAATAAACTGCAACTTGGATCACTACCTGTGAGATCTTCACTCAAAACTGATCTAGAGGAGCTGTACACACCTAGCTGCCACTGCTATTCAGAATGGCCTGAAATCAAATGTATCATTCCGGATGACTGCTGCAAAGTATGATCTTGAGTTTTGATTGTGGTGTGCTGATCTTTAAAGGTGTATTGAGAAATTTAGATTCTGCTACTGATGCTCCTGCTGTTATGGAGTGACTCCTGCAGCGAGTTATGGCTGCGGGATTTGGTTGTACATGTTATGTATATCGTTTGTTGTTGGATTAAAATAACAGTTCCTATGATCACTGTTACATAGTTTTTGTGGCTTTATTTGAGTGATTTTGAGGACGGTTTGGTCTGGCCATGTTTGTTTGTTGTCGTACATAGTTGGCCTGATAACTTTAATCTACATTGTCTTATGGTTGTTATTGTTTGACTTGCATCCCAATGGGATTTTTTTTGCACACAGCGTTGAAATGCGGTGTTTTTTCTGGAAGACTTTGCTGTTTTTTCCATTATTTTTTCTGTTGCGTGTAGTCACTTTAAGATGTTTCTTGTTCATAATTTTGTTTTGTTGTGGTTGCACCCGAGTCAAGAGCCACATGGCTCACAGGGTGATACCTAATAAATGAAACTGAAAACATATCCACAAATTTCCCTTTTTTATATACATAAAAAAACTGCCATTATTGTCCTACCTGCTTTCTAGTTCTTGGGTCCCACTTAGCATTCGCTCATATTTTTATTTTAATTCATTTCTTGTCAATATCACTGCAGTGGCTGAAACATCAAACTGTAAACGATATAACGTATGTTACTTTGCATAAAAAAATTTGATAAATAGCAATACGAATAATTAGGAAATTCAGATGGATTCTGCATTAAATATTTGCATAATTTATTTGGATATGTTTTGTGTTTGGGAGGAAACAAAAATTCCTGGGGAAAACACACAGGTTCACACATAACTTTCTATACGGCCATCTCTAGTGAGTATGACACACAAATATGCACAATCCACAAACTCTTTCTACCACAGGCATATACTACTACAAAATACAAAAATCCCCCATAGAGCCTTAACTGGCTGTTGGGGCAAATGCTGTTAGCAAACACCTATGAAGGCAAGCACGGTACACGAGGGGGTGGATGGCCAGTACCAGGTTCGGTTCAGATAATCATCACTAAGGTCGCCAGGTTTGTAACGCAGCGCGCTAACCGCTACACAACCGCTCCCCACTTCCAGCATGGCGACACACGTCTATAATCTATTACTGCGCTTAGCCGATTGTAATTATTTTTTACCATTTAAAAAAAAAACACAATTATGTTTTAACAAATGGTTAACATGGTATGAGACATTCATAATTGAGCAAGACTAGTGTAACAGTTTACTACATCCTGCAGAACCAGCCAGGTGGCTCAGAGGTAGATCGGCCAGCTTGCAATCAGAAGGTTGTGAGTTCAACTCATGGTTAGAGGTTGACTCAGCCCATCATCCCTCTTTGGTCGATAAAATAAATGTAACTTCGTGAAAAAGTCAACATTTGGTTGTCCTTTGGAAAGACTCTACCATTCCATTGGAATGAAGGAGGCCCACCCCTGGCTGAGGGCTGTAAATAGTAGATGAGCACCACATCAATGCACAATTAAGCAAGAAAGCACTGACTTTACCTCTTCTTCAAAATAGATGCTATATTGTCCACATGATGGGTTTCAAGAGATGGGATGCAATAAACTAGAATACATTTGTGCACAATGCAAGAATGCATTTCAGTTTTGAAAACGAATATTTAGTTCTCAAAAGTAAGGATTTATGAACCAATATAGTCAGAATATGTGCATCTACCTGTGGTCTTCCTGCCCTGCCAATCATCTGTAGAATATCTGTTTCCCCATATTCTTGCAGCATGCCTCCCCCGGTGTAGTGCATGGTAGATTTGACGATGACCAAGTGTGCAGGAAGGTTTACACCCATAGCCAGTGTACTTGTGGAGACTGCAGAGAAATAAAATAAAAAATTCGGTATTTGCACCATTCTTATATCAGGCTATCACAAAAAAGGTGCTGTGTTGCACATATTCTGCAATAGTTTCACGGTAGGGGCAATGTTGCTATATGCTTCCTGATGATATTTTGTGGGAACATTTATAAATCTGGACCTCGACACCAGCACACAACAACCTACTCTCTTCAAATAATGTCACGGGAATATTAATGGCCACTCTTAAGGAGACCGCACAAAGTATGTTATGATTACGGTAATATACTTGCAGTATTAACCAGAACGAATTGCCATATTCCAACTGCAAACCTCTGTAACCTCTGTAACAAGTGTCAAACACACTGCCGCCCCTATACACAAACCATAGCATAAATAACTCGGTGAAATTAATAAGTCATCATAAAAATATTGAACTCTATAAAATACTGTAATCATGTATCTGACAGCAAATATATCACATGCGGCTGGTTACAAGGCAGCTGCCAGTAACCACAATTTCAGCAGCATTGGTGCAGTTTCAATGTTCAGTGTCTCATCACCAGTCAGGCTTGCTTGAACCATTGATGGTGGACTTCCAGATGCTTATACGCAAGGATACTGTTAGATATCAGTATGGGTTTGTAATCTTAAAATATGCACACGACAGCCCCTACTAATTTTACAAAGCCACATGCAAACCTTATGCATGGACACATATATCAATTTACAATCTCTCCATGAATAAAGTATATACTACTCATATTTTACGTACACAGTACTGGCAGTTCTCCTTGCAAGAAAACATCTTCAATTTTTCTTCTATCAGACGTTTCCATCCCTGCATGATGGTATGCAATTCCTTTCATCAGCAAATCTACAACAGTAATAAAAAAAATACACGAATGGGAATTTTATATTTTAATGCAATTGTTTTAAATCATCGTTAAAAACAGTGAGGGCTTTACAAACTTACCTCGCAACTTGATATCCTTTAGGTGAGAAGCATGGTTCTGCAGTCTGAAATTACAATAAATTACCAGTATATATGGTGCAATGGTTACCACGCTAGACTTGTAATCAATTCCACCTTCCAGCGCAATATTTTAAACGGTGCACACTTTTAAATCTCCCCCCACTGCCCCTGTCCACCGAGCAGTGTATAAATACAGTACATACAACCATAGTTGATCGGCAGGACGCGTGTAGTAGGGTAAAGTGTGGGTATGCCTGCCTCTTCCAACACGTCTGGTCAATGTGAAAGAGTAGACCAATATCCCTCTAGAGCAGTGCTTCTCATCGTTTTCATTTCACGGCACAAACCTTTGAGCTTACTCTATCTTCACAGCACATTGAACAAAAAATATAATTGGCCTCTTCATCCAACAGTGGATTGATCATGGCTGATGATGATGTGTGTGCGCGCTCATCTCTTTCTCAAGTGATATGGCACTACGGACGGTCTTAGTGCCATAATGGAAGTGTGCAATTTTCAGTCACATGTGTCAATCTCCTCTTGATCACCTTGTTCCCCAGGTCTTAGATGCATTATTATCAGGCCCAGATTAAACTTATGAGGTGCCTAAGGCTAATACGAGGGAAGGGCCTCAGTACGTATTTCATATTGCTAAATAAATTGTGAAGTCAGTTTAATACGTAGGCTTTCGTGACCAATATCATCCATGAGAGGGTTTTTATGGGTTAGATCGCGTATCGTTAAAACCCGCCACCACCCGACACAGCCAACTAGTAAGGGTTGTCACGTAAACAGAACATGCCAATTCGTCACTAGTACAGCACACCGGTGTATATATTCGTTGGGTCTTTCGGTAAGGTCACATAGATAGGTTCAAAGAAAATAACAAAAATAACAAAAAACTACGAAGTTTCTATGGCAACACACGTGGTCGTCATCAGGAAAAGGGGGGTTAGCTTCTAAAGACAACTGTTTATAAAGGTTTGTAATGAGCGTAGCCCAAATGTCAGCAGCCAATGTTAATGTGGTGGGCAGCGACTACGGCGGTGGTAGGTTTTCCACCAATCAAAGGGCTGCCAGGTAAAAATGAGCATGTTAATGTAAGATCGCCGAGCATCCTCCACGGCGGCGAGCACGCCGAGGTGGCTTTGTTAATGTGAGAGATTAGCATGTTAATGGAAGACCGCCGAGCAGCAACCTCCAGGATGGCGCACGAGGTGGCTGTGTTAGTGTGAGAAATTTAATCTGTTAATGTAAAACATCAGAGAGCCGAAAATAACAACTAACATTGGAAGGTGGTAGGATGGGAACATCACAGCTAGTGATGATTTTAACTGGTTAATAACGTCCTTCCAATGATTGCTCAGTTTGTACCCATCTTCTTGGTGGAAACTGTATCTGTGTCTATATATGTGGATGCCTTCATGAACGAATCATTGTTGATAGCCAGTGGGTTTTCAAAGTACCTTCGTCTTCGAGAAATCAATTTCGCGTGAGCCCATCGCATTAAAACAATGATCAGCCACGGCCGAGGTATTGGTCCTACCGTGTTTCATATCTGCCTTATGTTCACGAACCCAGTCTGCGACATGTTGCCTGAGTTTCCTCAATGTAACTACTGCCACAGACACAGCTTAGTTTGTAGACACCGGGGTATTGCATGTCAGGGATCACATCCTCACAGATGGGATCAGATCACGAATCTTATGTACTGTGTTAAATCGAACCTGGATCTTGTGTTTGCTCATGATTTTGGAAAAAAAATTGGTGACCCCTGCTATGTATGGCAAGGTGATAGTTTTGATTGGGTCCTCAGATGGTTCTTTTCCAACGGTTGGGGTGATAGCTTTACGGATTGTGTAGTCTGAATATCCATTCATCTTGAGATCTTGGTGTACGTGTTCCAGTTTACCGGCTAGGTGATGATGGTCGGAAATACATCGAGCTCTATGGTGTAGAGTTTTGACGAGAGAATTCTTTTGGGATAGATGGTGGTGGGAGTCAGGTTTTAGGTAGGCATCCATATGGGTGGCTTTCCTGTAGACAGAGTGTCCCATTGAGCCATCTGGTCTCTTTTCTATTCAAACATCCAATAATGGTAATTTGCCATCCTTTTCCACCTCCATAGTGAATTTTATGGCTGGGTGTATGGAATTGATGTGGTTGAGGAATTGGTTCAGAGCTGGTCGGCCATGTGGCCAGATGATGAACGTGTCATCTACGTACCTCTTCCACAAAGACGGATGTAGAGTGAATGCCTGGATGGCATCTGTCTCAAAATTTTCCATGAAAACATTGGGTACAACTGGAAATAAGGGACAACCCATTGGGGTACCTTCAACTTGTTTTTAGAATGTTCCATTCCAGGTGAAGTAGGTGTTGGTGAGGCAGTATCTCACCAGGGCCGGTACATCAGCATTCAGTCCTTGTTGGACCAAAGTTCCTGTGTCAGGCACAGGAACTTTGGCAAACAAAGAAACCACATCGAAACTAATGAGCAAATCACCTGGAGATAGTGAGATGTCCTTAATTAACCACACCAAGTGAACTGAGTTAAGTACAGCTGAGGTGGTCTTACCAGTACATAGTTGTAAGGTCTCAGAAAGAAATCGGGCTAATTTGTAGGTGGGTGAGTCAATGGTGGAAACGATAGAACGAAGGGCAGTACCTCTTCTTGGTTCTTTTGATAAAGTCACGTAAAAGGGAAATAATAAAATAATACAAAGTAAAACATCATAAATACAATTCTCACAATGCAAGCAGCCGTCCTCAGGTGAAGAACAGGGCTGTCGGAAAGACAGCGTCATTCGGACGCTGTCTTTCATCCAAATGACGCCGTCTTTCCGACAGCCCTGTTCTTCACATGAGGACGGCTGTTTGCGTTGTGGCCGAAACGTCGTGAGAATTGTATTTTATTATGTTTTATTTTTATTATTTTATTATTTCCCTTCTACGTGACAAGACGATGAATCCCTGCAGTGACGAAAGCTTTAAATCGAAGGGGCGTACCTTCTTTATGGATTTTTGGTAAGCCATACAATCTGGGTGGTCTAGCAGCAGAGGGTTTTAAGGAAACCCGCTTGGTTGGTTGATTGAAGATTCTAGATTTGAAGCTTTCGTGACTGCAAAGATTCATACTCTTTGTTTTTTTCGGTAAAGTCACGTAGGTTAAAAAAGAAAACAAATAAATTAAATCACGACGTTTCGGAGGCAACACAAGCTTCCGTCTTCAGGTGAAACCGTCACAGCAAAATTGCTGTATCAAGTGAAGAGAAGTCCCAAGAGGCACGATCTTATATACTAGTAAGGGG